ACCAAGAGGAGTGTGACAGGAAACACTAAGTGGCACACAACCCCCTGACTGTTGTTCCATAAAAGCAGGAGATCCTATAGAGTCCAGACGCACCAAGTTCATCCACTTTGTGCTGGTGGATTATTGCGAAAGTGATGGAGCACAGACTAGGATAAGTGTCTCATTCTCTAGAACCGTCAATTCAGCATGTTTCACCAACACTCACTTAATAGAAATTTCTAACAATGCACATAAGTGCCTGAAGATAATCTGTGCTTGACTGCCAAGTCACTACTAAAAGATTTACTAGTTAGTGGCTTTGTGATATCTTCCTCTATTCCACTTTCTCTTTAAAAAAAGTGACATTTTGAATATTACCTGATCAGAGCTCCCAGAATTGATTTCCTACCCCAATAAACATCTTACTATATATTTTAGAAATGTGCATCTGTCGGTCCGTTCCTCTGTGAATGTTTGTTCAAGAACTCTTCCAAAACAGTAAGACCTAGGACCACCAAATTTGGTATTCAGCTTCCTCTTGTCATAAGTTAAAGCAAGGTCAGAGTTTGATTGTGCCAGGACAACGGGAGGTGCGTGAAATACAATTGTTTTGCATCAAACAGAAAGGGACAGTTGTGATAGAAGGGACAGTAGTACTCATGAACGACTCTTGGGAGCAGCTGGATGGCAGGCTGCGCAGCTCCCCACCATCCCACAGCCAATTCTGGGAGCAGTCAGTGGGGTGATCCCAAGCATAAACTCCCTTCCCCCTGCACCTGCCAACCCTTGGCTCTGAGCCCCTCCTTACCCCTCAATCCTGACTCCTGGAACTCCCATACCCCCAGATTCCTGCCCTGAGCCTGCCACATCCTCAAGACCCTGCACTGACTCATCATGCACCACCCACACCTCCAGCCCTTTGCCCTGAAGGGCCTGAGCAACACCAGATAAGTCTTTTAGTTCTAAATATTTCTTTTAAATAACCTGGAAAGGTTAAAAACAAGGTACAGAGTTGGGCTAGTGCCTTTTATGATGAATAAAGGCAACAAGGAGGAAAGTTTTTTGTTGTCTTTTTAAAGATTTTTTCCCCCTGCTTGTTTATTATTACATTAGACACTCAGGTCTCATTTATTAAGAACATAAGAATGGCTGTACTGGGGCAGACCAAAGGTCCATCTAGCTCAGTAGCCTGTCTGCTGACAGTGGCCAACACCAGGTGCCCCAGAGAGGGTGGACCGAAGACAATGATCAAGCAATTTGTCTCCTGCCATCCTTCTCCAGCCTCTGACAGAGGCCAGGGACACCATTTCTATCACCTGGCTAATAGCCTTTTATGGACCTAACCTCCATGAAATTATCTAGCTTCCTCTTAAACTCTGTTATAGTCCTAGCCTTCATAGCCTCCTCTGGCAAGGAGTTCCACAGGTTGACTACACGCTGTGTGAAGAAGAACTTTCTTTTATTAGTTTTAAACCTGCTACCCATTAATTTCATTTGGTGTCCTCTAGTTCTTCTATTATGGGAACTAATAAATAACTTTTCTTTATCCGCCCTCTCCACACCACTCATGATTTTATGTACCTCTATCGTATCCCCCCTCAGGCTCCTCTTTTCTGAACTGAAAAGTCCCAGTCGCTTTAATCTCTCTTCATATGGGACCCATTCCAAACCCCTACTCATTTTAGTTGCCCTTTTCTGAATCCTTTCTAAGGCCAAAATATCTTTTTTGAGGTGAGGAGACCACATCTGTACACAGTATTCAAGATGTGGGCGTACCATAGTTTTATACAGGGGCAGTAAGATATTCTGGGTCCTATTTTCTATCCCTTTCCTAATAATTCCTAGCATCCTATTTGCCTTTTTGACCGCCGCCGCACACTGTGTGGAAGTTTTCAGAGAACTATCTTGCAATGCTGGGTTACCACAGTGCCATGGAAGTGCTTGTTCTTATTTTCAGGTTATATTGTAAACGAGAAGCAAGTAACATTATCTCCTGGAAACTTATTTGCGTGAGTGATTGGATTAATAAGAATAAGAACTGGATAGACTTATAGGCTCTAAAGTTTTACATTGTTTTATTTTTGAATGCAGTTGTTTTTACAAAATTCTACATTTGTAAGTTTAACATTCATGATAGAGAGATTGCACTCTCGTACTTGTATGAGGTGAATTGAAATATACTATTTCCTTTGGTTTTACTGTCCAAATATTTGTGTTAAAATAAATATAAAATGAGCACTGTACACTTTGCATTCTGTGCTGAAATTTCAATCAATATATTTGAAAATGTAGAAAATCTCCAAAAATATTCAAGTAAATGGTAGTCTATTATTAACAATGCAATTAATTGCAATTAATTTTAATCATTTGATAGCGCTAATAATAATACATGCTCCTGCTCCTTGAAACAAGTCAAGGGATATGCAGC